GATAGTTTTGTCGTCTCGTTTAATCACCTTAAATGGACCATCGTAGGCTGGTTGTAAGGGACGTTGCACATTATCCCTTCTGATAAACACATGGGTACTGTCACTTAGTTGTTTGGGTATGTACACACGGCGTTGATGTTGTCTCGGAAGCGTTATCCTTAGACTACTCATATGCTGCTTAAGACGCTGTACATAGTCCGCTATATCAGTTGGATCGCTTTTACCTGCAGTGAAAAACTCTCCTGGCAGACGTAGTGTGGTTCCATAAACCAATTCTGCTGGGCAGCATTCTATATCTTGTTTGATTGTTGATCTTAAGCTCAACATGACTAACGGTAGCTTGCTGGCCCAATCGTTATTGCTGATGACAGCTGTAAGAGAAGCTTTAAGTTGCCGATGCAATCTCTCTACCATACCATTCGACATCGGATGGTAGGATGTTGTGCGAATTCGTTTGATTCCGAGTAGTTCTGTGAGTTGTTGGAAGAGGCGGCTCTCGAATTGAGCTCCTCTATCGGTTGTGATATTAGTAGGTACACCATAATGGGAAATCCAATGCTCTACTAGGGTTTTTGCGATAGTTTCGGCTGTAATATCTTTTATGGGCACAGCTACAGGCCATCGTGTGAATCTATCAATGCAAGTGAAAATGTAACTGAAACCATTCGAAACCGGCAGTGGTCCTATAATATCGATATGTACGTGCTCGAATCTGTTATCGGGATGACGGAAATGACCTACTGCGGAACTGGTGTGGCGATGTATCTTAACTCTCTGGCATTTTATACACGCTTGCGTCCAATTACGAATATCCCGATTCATACTTGGCCATACAAAACGTTCGCTGATTAGTTTGATGGTGGCCTTTATTCCGGGATGCGAAATATTGTGCATGGCTTCGAAAATGTTTCGCCTTAGCGGCTTTGGAATAAATGGTCTTGGTTGACCTGTAGAAATATCGCAGGTGATGCTTACTTCTTCCAATGGAGTTTCTTTGAGAACTAACGAGGTTGTGTTGGCAGACTTTAGTCTGTTTAACTCGACGTCGATATTTTGTAATGCTGCTAACTTGTGATAATCGATTTCGGACTGGACGAGAGCGTTGACCATCGTTCTGGATAGCGCGTCTGCCACTTCGTTACTATTGCCTTTGACATACTGTATGTTAGACGTGAATTGGGAAATAAATTCTAATTGTCGGATTTCCCTCGGCGAGTAGTTGTCCTGTTTGGCGTTCAATGCTTTTGTGAGGGGTTTATGGTCTGTATATACTGTGAAAATGGTACCCTCAATCATATGTCGGAAATGTTTTATTGCCAAGTAAATCGCTAGGAGTTCTCTTCCGAAAGTACTATATCTTGTTTGTGTCGGATTCAGTCTTTTCGAAAAAATGAGAGCGGTTCCCATATGCCATTTACTAATTGTTGTAAAACGGCTCCTACCGCTACATCTGATGCATCCGTCATGATAGCTAACGGTGTTTCGCTCTTTCGTCTAGTTAGTGTCACTTCTTTATTTAGTGCCTTTTTAGCGTTCTCGAATGCTTGGATCGCGTCTGGTGATAATTGGAATGTCCGTGCGTTTCCGCGTAATGCATCTGTTAGTGGTTGCAATATTGACGCGCAATTCGGGATAAATCGTCTGTAATAATTTATTAACCCGAGAAATCGGCGTAACTTTTTCCATGAGTCGGGTAGGGGATAATTCCTAATGGCGTCGACTTCTGTTGCTATTGGTGTGATGCCTTGAGAAGTTATATTGTGACCTAGGAACTGTAAAGATTCTTTTCCGAATTCACACTTCTCAATATTTATAGAAATGCCGTGTTCTCTGAGTCGCATAAATAATTGCCGTAGTTGTTGCATATGCTCATCCTTAGTGGTGCTAGCTACTAATAAATCGTCGATATACGCGTATACCCCAGGTAAACCTCTAATGACCTGGTCGATAAACCGCTGAAAGGTTTGTGCCGCGTTAGTCAGTCCAAAAGGCATACGCAGGAATTCATATAGCCCAAATGGGGTTGTTACTGCTGTCTTCGGTATGTCTTGTGGGGCAACAGGGATGTGGTAGTATGCTCTGACTAAGTCGATCTTCGAGAAGATAGTAGTGCCTTCTATACTGTAGGTGAAATCATGAATGTGCGGTATAGGATATCTGTCAGCTACCGTTTGTTTGTTTAGTGCTCTGTAATCCCCACATGGCCTAACCTCTCCATTCTTTTTCGGGGCCATATGTAGCGGGGATGCCCACGGGCTGTTCGATGGCCTTATAATGCCTAGCCTCATTAGCTTGTCGAATTCCTGTTTTGCGATGGCTAGTCTTTTGGGATCTAACCTTCTTGGTCTTGCATTGATTGGTGGACCATTCGTTACGATGTGATGCTGAATAGAATGTTTGAGATCCGCTTTATTGTATGTTACTTTTACGAGTTCAGGGAACTCCCTTAGCAACAATTTATATGGATCACCACAACTTTTATCTATCACAAGGTTCATTGAAACGGCTTCCGTAAGTATTCCTCTTATCGAAGTGGTTTGACTGCCGTTTATAAGTCTGTGTCGTCTAGAGTCTACTAGCAGGTCAAAGTTACATAAGAAATCTATGCCTATTATGGGCATCGATACGTCTGCTATGACAAAGTTCCAACGGTATGAAGCGCCACGTCCAAAATCTAGGGACAATTTCCGTTTACCATATGTCTTAATATCTGATTTGTTTGCTGCTCTTAGCACTAACGACGGGTTAATGTTTTTTCTTTCCTCGTTAAATGGAGGTACTACGCTAATTTCCGCTCCAGTGTCAACTAAGAATTGTGCGCCAGTGGTCCGGTCTTGTATATAAAAGAGGCGACTATTTTCAGGCATTATGTGTGTTGATGCTGTTGCCATTGATACTCGTGGGTATCGGTTACTATTCCTGTTAAATCTACAAGGTTGTAGGCACTTTCTGGCCCTGTAGCCGAACATTTGATGATACCAACATATCGCGGGAGTTGTGCGTCGTCTAGAAGTTGACCGGGTCCTTTCACGCGAACGATCTCGCGATGACCTTCGTGGCTTTTCTCTCTGCGTTAACTCTGAGAGTTTTCGGCACAAAACATTTATTTCCTTCTGTAGAGTATCAAGTCTATCGTCTACCGTCACATTGTGTAGTGGAGGGCTTGCTTGCTTGCTTCTTTCGTATATTCTATCGGCTATCTTTGCTATATTGTCTAAATCAGCATCCGTATCTCCCACAGCTAGGATCTGCTGTATATTTGCAGGGAGTCGGCGGAGCCACAGTTGATAAAAGAGATTATTGTCAATGTGTCTATCGCCAAGTAAACTTTTCATATAATTTTTTAGTTGTGATGGGGTTCTATCTCCATTTGTACTTGGTTAAGAAGTTGTTCGACGGCTTGTTGGTCACTGAGAGAGAGAGTTTTAATTACAGCCTCTTTTAGCACGTCGTATGGTTTTTCTGTGTCTGGTTTTGCTAGTGCCTCTCGAACGCTGTCAGCTACTTCGTCTGGGAGTAGTGTGCTTGTCAGGCCGAACTTATCCTTTTGCAAAAGAATGCGGTTAGCGAGAAAATAATTTTCAAGTCTTATAAACCAAAGTTTTGGGTCTGCGATTTTAAAAGAAGGGGCAGGGAGGTTAAGAGACCTCACGGACGAGGCTTGCTGTACGCTTGAAACTGTGTTTTCATAAGACATGCTTATAAAAATTAAGTAGCACACGAAAATACTTTAACAATCACAAGGAAAAATAGACGGGTGAAAACAATGATAATAAAAAAATGGCACAATTTATAAAATGGAACAGACTTACTAAATTGCACCAATATATCAATTGTTTATGAATAATTGTTATTTATTATGATTATAATTGTCACGTTTTAATGTTTGCGAAATAATGTAAGTGTAATTAAAATAATAATATAAATCCACAGTTGTAATTATAGTTCATTTAATAATCCAAATTGAGATGAAGGTAGTCGGATTTTTGGAATTTGATTATTTCGTCAAAATTCGCTTCCCGTTCTCACGTCGGGATTACCAATTCTGTAGTGGCTGTGCTTCGTTAATTAATCACCCTCGAACCGTTATCGTATAATCTTCAACGATGTTTGAAATCAGAAGGCAAATAGAAGCAGCTACTACAGTTTATTTAGTAGATAATTCGGACCAGACAGCAGAGAGGCAAAATGAATGAGCAAGCGAACTACGATTGTAGCAGTAGCAAGTAGTTGTAGTAGTAGTAGTAGTAGTAGTGAATTGGTGCAAATGTACACATATATATATGTATAGGAAAATGGATGAGTCAGCGAATAGGATAAGCAGTTAATAATGAAGCTAGCAGAATGAATACATGCGTAGGCGCTAAACAATGTTCAAGCATATGTATTTCATACAAGCATAATAATAAAGATAATACAACAAGTTGTTATATCATGGATGACTTTGTCCATTAAATAGGTCAACAAAAGACCTTGACTGAACTAAACTCAATTGCACGTGAGTCACTATAGGTGGTCAGTGCATGACATGGTGTCGTGGCATGAAAGAAAGCTGCAAAGGACTGGCTTCTGTTGGTCCTTCACGACTCCCTGGTTGGGGTCTGAGAGATGGTGCTACACAGTGGCTAGAGACGTTATCAGATATGGCTCAGAATAGAAGCCAGTGGCGATCCTGCTGTAACCTTCTTTTACTTTCTTCATAAAAAGTGGTTGTGTCTCCCTTACCTGAAAGATTTCTTCTGATTGTACCTTTGCGTTCCCTGATTACTAGCACATTACCTTACACCAATCTCTTCGTTATTGTTCTCTTTTTTTTGTTGCGCTCCTTAGCTTTTTTTTCTTTCTTTGTATTCCTCTCGAATTTTCATTGTTTTGTGTGGCGCATATATATTGGCGCTCTCTTGTACCAATATTCATGTGTTCAAATTAATAATAATTAAATAAATAAATAATTTCCACAAAATCCCTCTCTATTTATAGCATAGCTTGAAACCAAGTATATGATAATTCAATTATATTTTACTTCATACTATTTAATTCCTTCTTTCATTTCCACTTATTATGAATTTAGTAAACCTGATCAATTAGTTGATGATATAATTGAACAAGTTATATTGACCATTGAATTATGGTATAATCGATGCATACAATCTTGTAATTTAGTTACATCATCATCATCTAACTTATCAACATTAATTGAGCATAAATCATTATGTACAACTGCTTCTATGACAGATTATGGACGTAATGAATTAAGTTTACAATTGACTTCAGTTATTCTCAGTGAACATCCTGTTTATAAACTTATGTGTAAGTTTTATAAAAAAACATTTTTTTAAATGTGTGTGTGTGTATGCAAATTATTTCTATTTTTTTCCTTTTTTCTTTTTGCCAGTATTTCCTTTATATACTACTTTTAATTCTTATTATTCTTTTCATTCTCTATCTCTTGAATCAGCTGATCATTAGTTTTCACTTGTGATTAATTGAATGATCATTTTGTACATAGTTCTAGTTACTATCACTACTATCATTATGATCTACCGTTCTCATTTTTTACTACTATTACTATTACTACTACTACTACTACTACTACTACTACTACTACTACTACTAATAATAATAATAATAATAATAATAATAATAATAATAATAATCGTAACATAATCATTTAATTAGTTAAGTCGTATGATAATAGGCAACTAACTGAGTGCACACACACACACGCTTATACATTAGAGTACATAAATATATTAAATTTCAACCATGGTAACAATAAAATGAATATTTTTTCATCGTTGAATTCATGATTCAATTGAAGTTAGACCGCCATCGAAAATCTGGAAGCACTGGATAGCCGTTTCGTCCTAGTATGGGACTCTTCAGGACGAAACGGCTATTCAGTACTTTCAGGTTTTCTATAGTGGTTTACAGCTTCAGTTGACTCATGAAGTCAACTATTGAATTACTATAATAATATCCATAAAACCCCACTATGATTATAATAAAATGAATAATTGATCATTTTATTCGCGTTATCATCTCCAAATGAACTGTAGTCATTCTAGTTTTTGTGTGTAAAAATCTACCACTGAATTTTGTGATCAATACTAGAAAGAAAAGTGGTGACTATCGATATATAAATTTATAATTTATCATTGGAGTTCCTCTCTGTTTACAGTTATGATCAGGTTGATACATGAAAGAGCGTAATATTCAATGGACAGTGATATAAGATTAAATTGTTTTTTTTAAAATAGAAATTCGTCACTGAAATTGTTAGGGAACCATATTATATAATGTATCAAAGAGCGATTCCAATGACAATATAGAGTACTGATAATTATCTATCATTAGGCAAAAGACGAAAATATAGCGATAATAATTAAACTTACTGTGATAGCTCTGTCATTATGCTTAACCCTCTTAAGAACTAAACTATGTATCCATAGTAATTAACCTCTACGTTAAAATAGCTGCATTGTATCTTATGATTTTCATGATACTTACCGTTTAGAAGCAATTATTACAACACTGTGGGTTTTTTTTTAATGATAATTCACTTTTGACTTTCAGATAAACGAGCTATGGATTTTCTACGCTCTGCATTATCATCTTACCCTCCTGAACCATTACCTTTACCTCCAGGTTTCAGTGTTCTACTTGATCTTGATCAAGATAAACTCAGTTCTTCCACCAATGAAAATGGGACTACTGTTAATTCTGTTGGTTATTTACGAAAACCTCCATTAAACATCCCGACAACAATGATGTCAGGTGGTAGTAATACCACTACTGGATTACTTTTTCATTCTTCCCCTTCTAGTCCACATAAAGAATCAATCATAATTTTAAAACTTCTAAATTTGAAATATTAAGTTTATCCGATTTAGCAAGTCGTCTTCTACCATTATTAGCTCATAATCGTCATGTATTTGGTTCATATTATGCTGAAATTATTCAACCGTTACTTATGCCGGAAATTCAAAAACTTTCTAATGCTAATAGCGAAAAATGATTTCATATATCATCTCCTTAGATATATACAGTCATTGTTTACGAATGTAGACAACAACAAAGACTATCCATTGTACATTTATAAAAACAAACCACTATTCGTATTATTATTATTATTATTATTATTATTATTATTATTATTAGCAACCGCAGCAGCAACATTAGTAATAGTTTGTTGGGGGGTGGGGGTCTTTTTTCTTACACTAACAATCAATTTTTCTATTCATTGTCCAATTGTTTCTTCCATCTCATAACTGTTCCCCCTTTTTTGTCTATAGGAGAATAATAAATAGTATATTGATTACAATATCATTACTTATATTTTCTTCACTACTTTAGTGTTGTTGTTTTTTTTTAACTGTATCTGTATATGTAGAAGTGATATCTATTTTTTTCAAAAATGTAAAAACAGACATACATAAAAGTTGTTATCCATATGAACTTTACTTTACTTTTGTTGTTATTGTTGTTGTTGTTTATTTCCACTTATAGATGATTACGTAACTAGTAAGTACTCTAGTTAAATCAGTTACTTGTTTCAAATGTTAGTTTATTGCATTTCATGTATCTTTTCTTTTCTTTTTTTTCTTTTTGATATTCATGTTGTTGTTGTTTGTATATAATTCTCTAATATTTCATTTCAATGAAATGAATATCAATCAAAAATGATATTACTATTATGTAATAATACAAGTAGATGGTTTAAAGGAAAATACCTTAGTGATTGCTTCCTTTTTTTATTTTAATAGAATAGAATTTTTCTCTCTCTTAATATCATCCATGTCACTTGTTTCTTTTATATTGGTTACCTATTAAAAATCTATATTTTGTTCCTTTTTTTTTGATTGGTTGTTAACTTTTAAAGAATTACATTTCATTGTATGTTTTATTCAAGTACATTTGTTGCATGTATATTTAGGTTTATTGACTGATCCTATCATATTTACACCAAAATGTAAATAAATAATAAAAGTTCGATTAAAGGTACAATATTATTGTACTAATTATCATGGATACGTTGTGAACATGAAAACTGTTGATAATCGATTATTACTTTTAGTTTTAGGGAAAACATCATGCTTAAAGTTTTGCCATGGAAACTTAAATATTGAGTAGATACTCTACAGTAATCAGTGCCAATTTGGATTATTGAGTCAGCTTTCCGAGAACTGTAACGGAGCCTCTAGAGGCCCTAAAGGAACCGAAGAGTCCTAACCAACCAGAGTATGATGGGGCTTTCTAGAATATCAACATGGTGTGCTACTACTGGTCAGTAGCATAATATGTCTTTTAGTGGATTGGTCAAAATATGATGTTGATTTAACAAATGTTAACATTTATAAATACCCGTGTTTTTCTGTACAAAAATGAATCTTTGGAGTAAAGTGTTTTTCGCTTATTTTAAGCCTATTCTCTCGAGTTCAGGTCACTGAATAGTTCTAGCTCACGGGTTACGAGAAAAGCTTAGTATCCGAATAAAGTGTTCAAATTAACGAGAATTAATTCTATAATGTACATCATTGTATTGTTGACTATATCAGAAAAGAATATACTTGGTGTATCTGTTTTCGTAACAGATCCTAGAAGAATTTCTTTATAGATCTTCAGTTAACATAAATTATTCTCTTTTAAAAGATTTGATACAGTCTGTCTAATATATTCAAACAGTTCATGGAACGTATCAATTCAGCATGTCGACAAAACTGTAAATAATGTATTATTAAAGTACAAATAATTTTTAAAACCAAATTATAGAAAGATGATGAATAGATGGTAATGGATTTATAGAATTTGATCAATCTTAAGAATATTCGCAAACATAATATTGTTTAGTGCTTTAGTAACTGAATATTTTCTTGATTTTCATATCTCGATGGTGACCAATTTTTTCACGACTACTGAAGACTAGAACGAAATTTAGACCTATGAATTCCTGTAATCTCTTCTGAACGAGAAAAATGTATATAATGTAAAAGTATTTAAATCTAGCCACAGGATTAAGCGAAGAACTTTACCGGTACTATTAACTAAATAGTATCACAGTTCCCAGATACATATATGAACTAATACATTTTCGTCATTTATACAACAGTCAGACAAAATAACCAATCATTAAAATAAAAAGGAACTCTTAGAGACTCAGTTTCTGTTTGGAATGTATAGAGAATTGATTGGTTGCTATAATGGAGCCGTATACTGCGAAAATAATAATTTTTGGAACTATCTTAAGAAGAACTGTTTATATTTTAGTTGTATAATTACTAAATACTTGGATTATTTTATATTTGTATTCCCCTATTTGTAAGCTATTCGTGGTACATTAACTGTTTCTATATTATACCTTCCATAAGTTACTTATTATTCAGTTTTCCTTTGCTAATCGTGTAATCATATGTATATTGGATTTTCCTACTTATACTACTGTGCGATTAGGTAATTAAATGAGTTTGGATTTATGAACTCAACCATACTGTTTAAGTTTGTCTACTCACTATGTTCTGTTGTGGCCGTCAGACAAGTGAGATTGGGAAGCTACATCCTGTACCAGTAGGGGTAAGTATTGATCTTGGCCATTTTGTCACTGTCGTCGACTTATTAGTCAAAAGAAGGGCATTCTGTTATTTGGTTAACAGAAAGCCATTGATCCTACACAACCGGTCTAGGCAACTTAGTCAACAACCGAACTAAATAACATAATTTCTCCTATTGAAAAAATAAATAACGACCTGATCACACGAGGCCTAATACGATGCAGAAATCTGTTTATTTGACCGTTAAATCATTGGTTTCACTCCAAATTAATAATTCTTATCTGTAGTTCATTTATCAACTACAGACTAACATACTCGGCTTTGATCTGAGTATTTTTTATGTTTGACAATCAATGATATTAACTGATCGATCAAATCTCTTTCCAATATGATTATTATCTCTTTTGATCTAATGTACACTTCACTAACATGATAGTAATTCCTGTAAAATCAAATAGTATTGTAGTGAACAAGGACACGAATGGGGACGATCGAATGTCCTGGTACGGTCGAGAGTGGGGAGAGTACGCTCTCCCTCTCCAAATGCTCTCACATGGCCACGCGTATATAGCCTCTGCCAGGGAAGTCCTACTCACTGCATTGTCGCACCACGGGTGTTGTTTACAAAATTGAGAGGACAAAAAGCGGACGTCCGGCGCTTTAACCGGATTGGTGGATATGGAGAATCCACCTAGGAGAGTTGGAAAACCCTGATTCCATACCAGTGGTGCACATGGGCTGGCTCCAGTATCCTGAAGGAACAAATGGCGATGAACCAATCGTTGATCACCGGCTACCATGGGACTGCATCTTCTGACTATGCTCCACTGCCTTGTGTATCAGACCTTTAGGTCGAAGGCTCCAGATGTAGCCTCCCAAGAAAACGACCTGCCCCGGTTTTGGCACCCGGACAGTATCACAGCCCTCACACATATCGAATGAGATTTATGTGGCGCATATGTATTTGGTGCCTCCTTGTACCAATATCTATGTGTTAAATAAATAAATAAAATAACGATCGGATGTATTTGAACACGAAATTACAGAATATCTCAATAAAACCTGAGAACCGTACAGTAAATAGTTAGTCATTTGAAGGGATTTTTGTGGAGATTATAGTAATTCCAATAGTTGAAATCATGAAGCAATTGAAGCTTCCAGGTTTTCCATGGTGGTCTAGGTTCAACTGACTAATGATTTCAACTATTAAAATAGTTAATTTGCAAAATATCAATCCATTATTTCAAAAATTAACTGTTTCTTTTGCAAATATCATTCCATCGTTTGAGATTTCATCGTTCCTGCATTTTCATAACAATTACTTAACATTCTCGATCTTCTACTCAAACACATTCTATTCCTATCGTTATATACTACTTATAAGAATATAAGTAGCTTACACCACAGTATTACTAAATTTGTTTGGTCAGTGTAAGATAGATGAGTTCAAAATGTAACAGTAACATTTCTTTTAATTCAACTATTAGATATAAACAAGCTTGAGAATATAGAATTGTATTTGATCTTTTCGTGTGATTTGATGTCATAATGTTTTATCAGTCAGAAAACCACCTGTTTCATAGTGATACTGTTTTCACAGACTAACTACACAACACTACATCAATGATTGAATGCAAAATTTTCTTCTTCTACCAAACAGCAAAGATTCCAATAAAATCTACAAGTTAATGAAATTGGAATGTACGGCGGCGTTTATTCTTAGTTATTCTAAGCCAAAAGAGTATAAATCTGTTTTAGTGAATAGAACTGAATAAATGTTTTTTTGGTATTCATTGCTGGAACAACCGATTAAACAATATAGAAGTTTGTCACGTAGTATTAGATAATGATGGTAAACGGGTTGATAAGTTAGTTAATCTTCATTGACTGAGGTGGATTGGATATGTATTACATATGCTTAATCAATTTATACATCGACTCATGTTGTTTGAAGAGTGGTACTAAGTTGAAAGAAAGTTAGGAGCAGAAAAGTCAAGACTTGGCATCAACCTGTAAACTTATCGACTGTGGAACTCATCATATCAGTTAATGTAGATCACCGAATTTAGGTCCACTGTAACCAATGGTTAGCGAGCTTAAACAAGATTGCTCAAGAAAAATCGAGATGACGTAGTTTTATCCATTGATTGTCTTCTCGAAAACATTGAGTTTTAAAATTATCTTGTAAATTTTGTTTCATATATTGAGAATTTCTTCTTGAATTGTATTATCGATGTATAATTTCTTCTATTACCATTGAGATTTTTTTGATAATTCCATCTTATTATCTTCATTCGATATAATAACTTAAACTGATGAACATATCTCCTAGGTCCTGTATTTCTTGTGACCGACTTATTACTCACTTACTTACGCCTGTTACCCTTCAATGGAGCATAAGCCGCCATCCAGCATTCGCCAACCCACTCTGTCCTGTGACTTCCTTTCTAGTTCTATTCGATTTTTGTTCATTCTTCTCATATTTGTCTCCATTTTTCGGTGTAATGTGTTATTTGGTCTTCCTCTCCTACTTTGACCTTGAGGATTCCAGGTGAATGCTTGTCTTGTGATACAGTTGGATGATATCTTTAATGTGCGTCCTATCCACTTCTTCCTGATTTCTTCCTTCGCTGGAATGTGGTTTGTTCTCTCCCACAATAGGTTGTTGTTGATAGTGTCTGTGTCTGGTCAGCGGATCCAAAGTATTCTGCATAGACAACTGTTAATAAACACTTGTATCTTCTGGATGGTGGCTTTCATAGTTAAACTTAGTTTATAAACTTTGAAGTTGATAACTTTATAGTGGCTTACCTAATTAAATACGAATAATGATGGTTGATCAATAGAATTCAAACACCAATCGCTGAATAAATCTATACATACATTATCCTTGTATAGTTTTAAAAGTCAGTGAAAAACACTTATCTTAATTTCCTATTAACCTTAGAATCTACATTGTATACTTTCTCTTAGTTTGAAATCACTAACATGATTATACACTAATTTTAGTACTGATATTCACATTGAAACGCGGATAAACTGCTTATCTACAAAGTGTTATTGATTGATTTATTGGATTTGAATAGGTACTAGGTTGTTAAAAAAAATTGGGTGACTAAAAATTCCCAAGGATTATTTTTTCTTCTCACTATTGAGACTCACGTTTGAACTTTGTATTTTTCTCTGTTGACATCTATACACCATGAATATATGTCTTTATATTCCCATGTACACGAAGAAATACTGATTTTAATTTGATTCTTGAATATTACCTCGAGAAAATCACAAACTGTAATCATGAATCGATCAATTTTAGGCCATCATTGAAAACCTGGAACCATTGGATGTCTTTTTCGTCCTGGTATGAAACTCCTCAACAGTGCTTATCCACGATCACGCACACAGTATTCAGACTGAGGATTTTTTTATCTTGATCGTGAATGCTTCAACTCTAAACCACTAAGCCGGCGTCCAAACAACTGTCCAGTGATCCTAGGTTTTCAATAATGGTATGACATTGATCGATTCATGATCTTAATCAAAAACCCTAATATAATATTGGAATAAAATAACCGTTAAGCAGTATCTAGTTTTCACTAACTACTTTATCGATTTCAATTATCTTCAAATTAACAAAAATTATAATAGTTGAGATCATGAGTCAGTTGAAGTTAAACTATCATGAAAAACGTGGAAACACTGTACGGTCGTTTCATTCTATTGTGGTACTCCTCAACCGTGCACACCCATGATCCCATCTCGCAACATTCAAACTATAATATCCACAAAACCCTTTTCTTATAAAAAAAGAAACTAATTAGAATTTCGTATTTTCACATTACCCATTATTGTTTTAACCAAAAGAATAAACACAATACATTGGAATGTGTATATATACTTTTGTTTACATTCTTTATTCGTTAATAACAATCCAATTAGGTAAAATGAATAGGGTTGAAACTACAATCTAATGAATAGAGTCAATAGGATATTTGTTTATTTGTTTTGTTCTATTTCGTCTCTTCCTTTGTTCTCGTCAACATTTGCATTCATTCAACATTCAATCACACTTACATTGTTTTTATAAATAAAAATGATTCATTTGTTCAATCATATTTTCAATGGATAATTGTCCATAACGCCCTGGATCTGATTGAATTAATTCATATAATTTATTTAATTGTTTATAACGTAATTCATTCTCTTCATTTTGTTCATCTATTGATAAAGAATTAAATTCTTTAGTTAAACGTAATTTTTTTATACTACTTAATGAATTTAAGTAGTTCATATTAGTTATCGTATGTTCATCATGATGATCATTGTTTTCGGGAGGACTTTCTAAATGATTCATTTTTGTATCTTTTATAATTATCTCATCATTTTTATTAGAGTTGTCTAATAGAAAAAAAAGAAACAATAAAATACAACGTTTATCAGTATAGGATTGTAGTGATAAGTTAAAATACAATCTGACAGGATGATATATTCAGTAGAGATGATCAACACTTCATATGTGTTATAATTCTGCATTCTGTTAACAATGATATGTGACTAAACGATTGAGTGAGCACTTGATACTCATCAACAAGAATTATTTTCAGTAATAAAAGAGGTGATGATACTTCAGAAATCTTGTTCATTACCATCCAACTTAGGTAGTTGATTGCTTTGATAAAGAGTTAGTCGTACAATCACCATCTACTTGAAGAATTGAAATGCTCACAAAAATACACCATTCAGTTATTAATAACCAATATCATCTTAACTGATTCATAATTGTGATTTAATATTATTTATTATTTTCAGTGTAGGGTTGTGGAGATGATTAAGTTTTTGATTGAGATCATGAACCGATTGATGTTAGATCGTCGTTGAAAACCTGGAGGCACTGGATGGCGGTTTCGTCCTATTATGGGATTCATCAGCAGCGAGCATGCACGATCTCGCTCGTGGATTCGAACCCAGGGCCTTCAGTCTCGTACGTGAACACTTAACCTTTAGACCACTGAGTCGACATCTAATGGTGTTAATGTCTAACTTCAACCAATCAACGAAATTGCGCGACTATCTCTTATTGTACTGAGGTAGATACCTGTCTCTACCTCACACGGACTAGCTCCACTGATCACGGGTTTATTAATTGAGTATCATATGGAAATTTGTATTTATTTTAAGGATATACTTTATCAGTGGTACATGAAAGTCATAGGTTCAATTCAATATGGAGTTGTTGTTTTTTTTGTAAATTATCGGTGAATAGTCTCAAATTAATGATCACTGAACAAGTTTTCAGTGGTTTCTATTTTTCAATGATATACCATCTGATACGAATTTTTGGTGGAATTTATAGGATGTTTTAAGCAACACAATTCAACATAGAGTAAATCTAGTGTTTGTATATTTGGACTATGACTAACATTCAAGTATGAAGCGTACATTTTATCATATATGGGAATTGTCTTTTAGACACACTTCTCTTTCGCTATTGATTTCTATACCAAGACTCAACTCTGTGTCTATCGCTTTAAACCCCTATTCATTGTCTCTATGCTACTTCACCCAAAGATCCACAATGCGTTTAGTGGATAAAAAGGTACTTGTAAGAGTTTTTCGTTTCTCACCTATGTTATTGTTTACCTTAATCCATAATAGTACTATATGCAACCTAGGTGTTTCAACTGTAAGGTAATGGTCTCAACTATCAATGGAACCACTAAGAGTGCGGTACATCTAATTGACGAGTCTCAATTCAGACAAAATATTAAATCTGAATACCAATCCCAAAAATTCTAAAATATTTCATAAAAGACTTTATAAAGACATTACGCTTAGAATGAACATATGGCACTATAAACTGATCAGTTGTAATCCTGAATATCAACGACGGAATTTTAAAAATATTTTCCGAGATGGATCTATCTAATAATTATTTCCTTATCAGTAGACTTATAAAACGATAATAAAAGCGTAATAAATAGCTGACAATCGTTTCGTTGTGAATGGATACAAATTTATAATTAACATACTGTAGTGTACAAAAATCAAAATGTTTACTGAAAGTTTACAATGATTATTATGATTAGTTAGAAGTTTGGTTTATCTAGTTGTAGTATAATAAGTCATTAGAATTCCTTTAGTGATAAGTCTTGCTAATTGAACGCTATATTCGGTTCCTAAGCTATTCTCGTAGCCCTCAAGCTAGAACTACATAGAGACCTGGACATGAGAGAAAAGGCGCAAAATATTCGAGAAGCACTTTACTCCAAAGGTTCGTTTTAGTACGGAAAATATAGGGTTTTAATAATATTTTAAATGTTCTTGGGTTTCCCGAAAATTTTAGAATGCTAGCAAACAAACTCTACATGTGACCTTTCACTTTCTTGATGTTTCTGGCTAAACTTCAAGTGAACGCTGATTGGATCAAATGGTTCTTAGTGTTTTCCTGATCCTTTCTTGTTTTTTTGTGAGAAGTTTTCTTGATCACTCCAACATTTAGTAACTAACATCTTATACTATACAATCTTCTTTGTATATGATAAGAATTTAGATTTGATCATGTTTAACTTTTCGATCGTATTATCTATGATGTTCGCTGTATTGTCATCATTTTCATTTTAATATTTCAGTTATGTTGTTTCAAATAGTAAATTCACAATGTTTACTTTCTCATATAATTCACATAAATCATCAACGATACTATGACATGTAACTTTTTAAACTCTAAATTTTTCTTGATACTGTTACTTCTTAATTAACTGAAATCAAAGCATGTGTAATGCGTTGGAAATGGATAGGACACACACTGAGGATATCACCCAACTGCATCACAAGACAAGCCCTCACATGGAATCCTCAAGGCCAGAGGAAAAGAGGAAGACCAAATAACACATTACACCGGGAAATGGAGATAGACATGAGAAAAATGAACAAGAATTGGATAAAATTAGAAAAGAAGGCCGAGGACAGAGTGGGTTGGAGAATGTTGGTCAGCGATCTATGCTCCATTAGGAGTAACAGGTGTAAGTAAGTAGGTAAGTAAGCATGTGTAATTTACATCTTAATTACTCCAGTTAACTATAGTTTATAATTTGAATAATTGACTTGGTATTTTTAACGATTAGCCTACAACTAATCACAACATCACTCATTCAATAGCTTTAACACAAGTAATTAGTGTTTTAAATATATTTTTAATCGAATAATTGAAGCTTACAATGAATAGATAAGCGTTTGTTATATCCCGACCAGAATTATGAATGGTAACTGTTGAGATCCATTCATGGATTAATACTATACATCTATTTTGTATTGTATAATTATTAAGCAGTTAAACTATGCATATTCATATCCTTCCTATTATAAGCTTCATTTTGACCTGTAGATTATTAATATATGATTTACTGTTCTTGAGTTATGTCTAGTCTATTACTTACAGTCCCCCACAATCACAGCCACATTTGACTTAATCTTGTACAAGTGTTATTTTCTAATTTATGGTACGATGTCGTCTGTTTGGTTTGTATATAAGCCCAGTATGTTTGAAATACATGATTTATATCGTAGAGGCTGAAATTGGTTTTCTGGAGTTAATAGACAGGACTAGATGTGAAGAAGGACCAGTAAAGATTCTAGACTGCTCGTACGGGTTTATTCATTATTGATTTAGTCGATAATTCACTGTTCTTGAATTAGGGGCATCATTATATATTATTATTATTACTAATGGCTTTATTCAATATTATATTTTTGGTACGATATAGAATTCTCAACACAGGGTATTTCAACAAGTTACTTACGCCAAAATAAACAGAAACAAAGATAAAAAAGGGAAAAAAGTTTTTTTTAAAAAAACGGAATACTGTACAACTTTTCAAATTACAGACATGGTTAAGAATGCAGGTTATTGACTTGGTTAACTCTAACAACCTGTTCGTCACAGAGTTTATTTGCTAGGTAAGGTATTATAGAACTTTTATACTTTTGCTTGCGTGAATGGATTTTAGTGTAATTACGTCTCGTTTTACAAGAAGATATACAAGAAGAAAGATAAGAGTGAAGGAGATGGTTAGTATCTGATAAAATAACACCTGCCACGAGTTTGCATGACTTTAGATGTCTCTCCACAACCATATTAATTATGACATTGAAAGATTCATCACACATCTTGCTAACTGTCTTCAGCACTCTCTGCAATACAGCAAAGTCTTTTCTCAAAATCCCGGGAAAGAATAATGGAGAAGAGTAAAGAATAATAAGTAATATGCAAGAATTGACAAATTGTAAGAGTAAATGACGAGTAATCCCAAGAGTACGCAATGTCTTTATGTAGTAGGTCAGACGGAAAACCTTCTTCGATAATAATATATATATCTTAACTGAGCACAAAGCTACAAATTATAACAGTATTTCAAAAAACCATTGCAGTAAATTGTATTCAATCATCCAAATCATCATCATCATCAATTAAACAGAATAATCACCAAATCTTGAAATTGGTGTCTAGATTACGTGTGTTACATTCGTTTCTCGTAAATACAATATACGCAATCATTTAAACTCTTATGAGTTTTTGGAAAAGGTTCAATGAACAATAACTAAGTTGATTCTTGAAATAGCGGAGTCTCCTGTATGATGTTCAAGTGGTTAAACTAAACTTATTCCTATTGTCATCATAAAAGAATTAGAGGTGACTTGATTACAATGTTCAAATTACTTAATGATAAATTTGTATGTGATATACCCTCATTTTCTTTTTTGTTTTTTGTCTTTCAAGTTCACAAGCCTAATAAAAAAAATTACATATTAGTTGACTATCAACTTTCTTATTAAATCAACATACGATTAAAGTTCCATCTATCGACTCTTTCAAAAGAAAGTTGAATCAACTAAGAGATTATCATTATGATGACTAGTACAGATCATCAGACCTCATATCCTTTCTAAACTAAAACTGATACTGCTATTATTAAAGAGAGTAAACAATGAAGATTGATGCAGAATAATAAATGGATTCATTTTATGTTGCTAGGTTCTCATCAATTGCTTACAACTTATTTAATATTTGACAATCCATATTATGAGATAGTAACTCACTGAAGACAATGGTATACGGTGGCACAACTTCGTGGATTGGTTGAAGTTAGACATTAACACCGTTGGATGCTGTCTCAGTGGTCTAGTTGGTTAAACGCCTGGCGCGAGACTGGTAGGTTCTGGTTTCGAATCTCGCAGTGTGCGGGATCGTGGATGCGCACTGCTGAGGAGTCCCATACTAGGATGAAACAGCCGACTAGTGCTTCAAGGTTCTCCATAGTAGTCTAGCTTCAATTGACTCATGATTTCAACAAGTGAAATACCTATTAAATATTTGACAATCCATATTATTACAGATATTGATATACTTATACATAAGTACAAGGGTGATTAAAGATGAATCTATGTGTATCATGATATAGCGAAAATTTCGATCGAGTTCATAAGGTCATTAAAAATGATTTGTTTTGTTTAAATATAATTTGTAAAGGGAAATTTTCAGACTATTGAACTATTGATTAGAATTCATAGAGTTAACAAACATTAGATGATTATGTAATGAGATGACTGAAAATAGATTAATGATAATAAAGAAATATCAGAAGGGGTTTTTGGAGATTGTAGTAATCTAAACAGTTGAGATCATGAGTCAATTGAAGCTAGACCACTATGGAAAACCTGGGTGCACTGGGCGGCCGTCTCGTCCTACTGCGGGACTCCCCAGCAGTGCGTATCAACAACCCTGCCTCGCGGGACTCAAACCCAGGATCTATCAGTCTCGCTCCAGGCGCTTAACCAACTAGACCACTGAGCTGGCCGGCATCCAACGGTTTTAATGTCTAACTTCAATTAATCCAGATAGATAGGAAGATATAAATTGAAATTTCAAAAAAATGACAATGATGTAATTTAAACTTCAGAAAGAGTTGAAATAATGAATGATGTAATAAATAAAAAAAGGAGGGATTAATGTTACCCGGGTAAAGAAAGATTTATTACAAAAGAGACAGTAATAACCTCCATATTAACTCTATCGGAATCTTTACTATATCATGATGCACATATATTCATCTTTAATCACCCTTGTACTTATGTATAAGTATATCAATATCTGTAATAATATGGATTGTCAAATATTTAATAGGTATTTCACTTGTTTAAATCATGAGTCAATTGAAGCTAGATTACTATGGAAAACCTTGAAGCATTAGATGGCTGTTTCATCCTAGTATGGGACTCCTCAGCAGTGCGCATCCACTATCCCGCACACCGCGAGATTCGAAACCAGGACCTACCAGTCTCGCGCCAGGCGTTTAACCAACTAGACCACTGAGACAGCATCCAACGGTGTTAATGTCTAACTTCAACCAATCCACGAAGTTGTGCCACCGTATACCATTGTCTTCAGTGAGTTACTATCTCACAACAGATCTGGTTGAACTCCACTGATAACGACTTCTCACTAAAACTCCTGGGGTAAGCAGGTAGTAAGCAACTGATAGGAACCTAGCAACATAAAATGAATCCATTTATTATTCTGCATCAATCTTCATTGTTTACTCTCTTTAAGATAAGAAAAGTGAACTATGTATATGATACTGATATATTCATAGATTACATTCTTTTTTTATTAAGGAATAATACAACATTTTACATAAACAAACCTTTAGATTGATTTATCTCTATACAATTTTCATTTGATATAATAGATAATTGATTATTGAATATAATATCATTAGATTTGATTGATTGATCTTGTTGATCATTTATTGATTTTTTATTAATTTTATTATGTAATTTATTTTTATTGATTTTTGATGAATGAATTATTGACATAAATGGACATTGTAATAAAAGTTTTTCAAATTCTTCAGTTGATTTTATAAATGATGGATGTTTATGAAATGAATTTTGTTTAGATTGCATTATAATCGTGTTCTTTTTTTTGGAGGGGGGTAGAACAGTAAGGAGCTAGGGGAACTTTATAAAGTAATTTTTAAATGAAATTAGTTGGATACTGTTGTTGTAGTTGTCATGAAACTAATGATTAATTAAATGATTATTGAATAAATAATATTTTTTTTAATTTAATGAAAAAAAAAATCAATAAAATTGGGCGATAACCATGGAAATGTATTGGTGTATAATAATTAACCAATCAAATTATATTAATGGGTAAATAATTCTTTATCTTTTTTTTGTTGTTTCAATGAGTTTATCATTATGATTTATTTCTTTAGTGCAGTATCAATCAGATCTTAATTCATCATGTTAGAATGATTTGCTTAGATGACATTATGGTTAATATTGGTAACTTGCTTAGTAGGAATGGATACATAATGAAATTCATTGACAACTATATGACGGAGATAAAAAGAAGGATAGTTGTACTTATCTAAATTTACATGGTGTTGTTTTACTTGTATCTTCTCATTGTTATTTAGGTCTACAATTGATCAGTCTGTTGTTGGCATATGTGCATCCTGTGCGGATCGACTCGCTATAGTTGTAAGTCACAAGCTTTTTAAGTAAAGATGGATAGTGGCTAGCAATGTCTATATTGAGGGAATCCGCACAGGATGCACATATGTCAACAAGAGACTGATCAGTTGCAGTCCTAAATAATAATGGGAAGATACAAGTAAAGCAACACCAAGTGAATTTAAACTTCACCCCAGTGTACAACTAGGCGGCTATCAGAACTCAGTAGCTAAGTGGATAGTGTGATGGCGTTTGAAGCGAGCGGTTCTGAGTTCGAGTCCCAAAGTGAACATCAACTCTGAGACACAGGTACATCCAGCTGACGAGTCCGAAATAGGACGAAACGCGAGTCCTGGATTTCACTGCAGGCTACAATCTATAATTGTACCTGCCATTCCAAAAAAAGTGATGCTCTTAAAATTACAATTCCTAAATGATGCTACTGAAGAAATTATGACTCAAACGTTAATAAAGGCTGTACAAAAAGCATTTTATGCAGCCAGACTAAGTACCGTCTTTTACAAACACCCCATAATAAAACGGTTATAAAGACACTGACTAAATTTCTGTATCTATGTGTACTCACCAATTCAACTGCTCCTCTAGAGCCAGTTTTATACCGTGTACAATTCGGTAAGTCTATCGTCGAATAAAAAAGCATCATCCGATTTCGTTGACTAAAAGACAATTAAGAGTGATAACGAGTTCTCTTCTCGTTCACTTGATAAGTGGAATTGAAAAAAGATTTTAAGGTTATCCACCATATTCCATCAAATTTGTCGCATCGTTTACGAATTCGCTCTTTGCACACTGAAGCCTTTAGAATCCATGTTTGCAAACCAAACTTGTGCGTCTAAAATAAGTTTGCACAATCAATTTTGCTTCCTTGGCTATCAGTTTAAGATCGAATTGGTAACAGAAATTTGACAAACTGCTTTAGTATTTCTTCTACCACCATGGAAAACCTGGAAGCTCTGGACACCTCAGTAGTGCACACCCAATCTCAGGGCTCGAACCCAGGACCTTCTGGGTGGATGCGCAATGCTGAGGAGTTTCATACTAAGACGAAACGGTCGTCCAGTGCTTCCACTTTATCCATGGTGGTCTAAGTTTAGTCGAATTATGAATTCAACTAATAAATTACTACACTCTCCACATAACTCCTTTTCTGATACGGAAGTAAGTTTACTCTTATGCAAATTTTGTCTTTTGTGATAACAGTCATATACTTGAACACTTTCTAAAATACCATTGTACTTCCTAGTTCTTTACAGTAGATTAAATTATGAATAAAATATCTTTGAAGTAACGTTAAGGTTTAAAAGTGGGTGTTACTTTTAATGATAATGATATTAGAAATACTGTGTTTCTTGAATAGAACTCGCAAAATAATTCCTGCAGAAGATGATTTTTATCCAGTTCATTGTTGCTAATTCATACCAGAATTATGTTTTGTATAAAAACTACCATATAATTATAATGTTTACTTTTATTAAGAATTTCATACAGTTCTGAGTAAGGTTGCTATTTGTATTATTACTGTCAATAATAATACACAGAGTCCAACACTATATGATGTTTAATCAAGTGCTTAAAAGTGATAACGAACATAGAAGACAATGGAATTCACCTCGATAATCATTATGAGTTTTGATGATGGAGGAGCTAAAAAAGCTGATGTATATTATGAAAACAAAAATTTGAAAGGTATAATAATCAATACGACTTCTAATTGTGAACTATATCCCGCTAGACAATAGTTTCATTGTGCTTAACTTATAATCGTATATATCTTTTCTCTAGTTAATGTCAATGATAGCAAATGGTCTATTTTAGTTGCAGTTCTTGACATTTACAACATTGAGAAACATTAACACTTATAAATTAGATACATTTATGTTGCCTTAACTGATTGGTTATCCGGATTCAATAGCAGTCAGTAGATAGTGAGCTAGCATTTTAATCAAAACAAACTTGACTCGAATCCCAGAGTAAACACCAACATTAGGGTCTAGCTCACGAAATCTAAATAAGAAAGAAACAAATTCCTAGATTTCAATACTAGACAATGTTTGAGCTTAATGTTATGGTACTCTTGTATATGATTCTCAAGTCGTACGGTGACGTAATTTCTTGGATTGGTCGAAGTTAGATATTAACACTGTTGGATACCGGCTCAGTGGTCCATAATTTAGGCGTTCGAACCTCACGGGCGCCATCGTGGATGAGCACTGATGAGGAGTCTCATATTAGAACGAAACGTCTGTGCTAGTGCTTTCACGTTTTCCATGATGATCTAGCTTCATTTGACTTATGAATTCAACTAAAAAATTACTAAAATCTCTACAAAATCCATCTATAACCTCTTTATAAATCATGAACATATAGATATTGATCGATTATCACACTTATTCGATAGAAAAATCAGCACTGATAAATTAGAATTTAAAAAAAAATGAGATCATTATAAAAATTAATTATTGATTTCAAATGTATGATTAATATATAATGGAAACAACAAAAAAAACAAACTAAAGATTAGGAAAAATCAATCAAAATTTTTTGATATGAAATTATCGATTTTTCATGGTTATTCACTATGGCAACTAAAAATATACATTATAATATTTTATTGTTTTTTATGTTTATCAAACCATGATTTCATAAATAACATATAATATTTCCAAATTGAATTTGGTAATAAACTAGTGAAATATTCTTTAATTGCATGACCAATATAACCAAATGTTTCTTGTTCAACACCATACATATCTAATGCACATTTTACATATTCTTTTGCATTTGGGACAAATAATGACATTTTACAATAACCATTCATTGCTGTAGATACAAACATTGGACAAACTGTTTGTATATGAATACGATGATCATAGTTCTCATTCGATATGGATCTAGATAATTGATTAACAAATGCTTTTGTTGCTGAATATAATGATAAAAATGGAAAAGCCCTATAACCAGAATGTGATCCAATATTAATGATAGCCATACCAGTTGTTGATTGTTTTAACATTTTTGGTAATACTATATGGGTCATCATAGCAATAGGTAAAGTATTACAAAAAACGATGTTTTTAATAAAATCTATAGTAATATAGTCTGCTGTTGCGTAATAGTCTAATTTAGGAACACCCATACCAACATTATTTACTAAACAAGCAATTGATGATAATTGATCTATAGCTTCTTGTATTCTTTGATAGACATCAGTCTGTGAAAAGAAAAGAACAAACGTGAATTGATGAATATGGGATATAATAATTTCAATGGTTGAGATCATGAGTCAATCAAAGCTAGAGTTCTAGTGGGAATCAGTGATCAGTGGAATTCAACTGGGTCTGTTGTGAGATAGTAACTCATTGAAGATGATGGAGGATGTGTGTCTCATTTTCATGAATTAATTAAAGTTAGACATTAACACCGTTGAATGCCGGCCAGCTCAATGATCTAGACGTTAATCGCTCGCGCGTGAGACCGATATGTCCTGAGTTCGAATTTCGCGAGGCGGGATCGTAGATGCGCACTGATGAGGAGTCCGACAATAGGACGAAACTTTCATTCAGTGCTTTCAGGGTTTTCCATGATGGTCTAGTTTCAATTGACTCACGATCTCAACCAATGAAATTACTATAGTATCCACAAAACCCCATTCTGATATAAAAAAATATTTTAGTTTGAAATTAGCTTAGACAGACAATCACTAAGTATAATACACAAGTGTTTTTCATTAGTATGCAACTATTTTATATCACCTCGCCTACAAGTTAGATAGGATTCTAGTTCATATAGAAAACATAAACAACAAATTTAGGAACAAATACATATGAAAACTTATTTACATGGTAAACTGCATAGACCCTGAGAAATAATACAGTAGACAAAGAGGTAGTTCATTGTACTAATAGTAATACATATGCTAATCTATTTGAGAAACTATGAAATTGATCTAAATAAAGATCCCATAAAACTCTAAGATCTCGTTCTAAACGTGATATAACTCTATCAATGAGTTTAATTCTAATCCATTAAACAAACTCTCTAATCTTCTATGAATTTTCAATCAATACTTCTTTGATTACAGTCCATTAATCAAATCATAATTTCATTATTATACTAAATGATTTCAACAAAAAAATCATCAACTACATATTACTGATAGACTTTGAGTAAAATTTAACATACGGAATATATCCATGAAGACATTAAATAAGAAAGATTAGTTTAGTGAAGTGTTGTCTTTTCGGTGAATTCATTTTCAAAGTCGTACAATCGCAAATGAATATATATTTATGTTTTTTTTCTCTCAGGATGATAATAAACTTCTGTTAGACATAGTAACGGTGAGATAACATAAAGAAAGATATGGCTATTGCTTCGTCAATGCAAAGAAGACATAGAGTCTGTCCTGACTGACCTGTGTTCACAAGATATTCAGTTATTGAACTTCTTATTGAGCCATTTCTTCCTCTTCTTAGCCACGTCGGATAATGTTCTTGAATTCTTTTGGATAAAGTACATATCAAACGACCTATATACATAGTTCTACATGAGCAGGTAAATTAGTAAATGCACATTGAATTGGTCAGATGCGATAATTTATCTTTAAGATTATTAGTGAGCAATGATCGGCTGACCAATACTATTCGCAATGTTGCTGCAAAGAATGAACTTTTCGCTGAATTAATCTTTCTTATTTAAAATTTAACAATCTCATTCCATGACATTATAGGTTATGCTTTTTGTATTATACCCGAGATATATACATCGATCATGTTTTCAGATACAAAAGAACTATTATTATAAATTCCAATTAATCAATCAAACACCACTGAATTAACTACTTGTATGAATTCGGTGTTCATCTTGTTGTGCTAATGAGGTATGGCTACTTGGACCGATGAATATATATGCCTGATCCTACGATGTAACTGACTGACTGGTCAGTACTAAACTTTTTCTTAATATTCAAATAATCTCAATTCATCACTTATAATACTCACACATACCTATATTATCAATGCAATTTTGATGACATTTTCTTTATGGAATTCAGATATAAGTAGTTATTTTCCTTAAGCTATCATTTAAAAAAATTAAATATATAAGAGAAATTTGGCGGCCTGTTTGAATGGTTAGGCTACCTGTTCCAGTCATCGAGATATTTCAGCAAGTTAGCTAACTTTATAAAGGGCTTTTGTGGATATTATAGTAATTTTAATAGTTAAAATCATGAGTCAATTAAAGCTAGACCACCATGAAAAGCCTGGAAGCACTGAACAAACGTTTCGTCCTATTATGGGACTCCTGAGCAATGCCCATCCACGATCTCGCCTCGTGAAATTCGAACTTAGGACATATCAATCTTGAATACAAGACCATGTTGGTCTAGTTTTAATTGACTAATGACCTCAACAATTAAAATCATCTAATTTTACTTATTTTATACCTATTCATCGCATAACCTATTCAGGTGCATTTCTGAAAAATGTACAATCTTTCGTTGTCCAAGTTATAAAAGACCTAGTCAGAAATATTGTGGTTGCTGGCAGTATTCAGCTAAAACAATCTACATGGGTTATATATTGATTGATTGGACTACTAACTTCTACCTGACAAACACCGAATATTTATCATCAGGATCGATCAAGAAATAAGAAACAGAAAGTCTTTGAAATATTTTGTGCTGACCATTCTATTTTGTACCAAAAATATAATATTGAATAAAGTAGTTATAATCATAACACAACCTACGGAAAGGTATACACATAGTCGTTTAGATTCTCAGTACAATTGAATAGTTATTGATCTAAATGTCGATTTCCAAAGATCATATAGTATCTAAATAAAGACTACCATAACAATCTTATAATTAATTAGAATTTTAACCTATATATACCCTCATTTAGATGTGATATGTAGGTTAGCACTCTCAATGTCAGTCTGGTGTCGTTAAAAGGTGGTCCATAAATTATAATCTCACTATACTGGCTTACCTTTGTGAAATCAGCTGTGACTATTCTTGTCTCTACATGATAATTACATTCAATCTCATTAGCAACATTCAAAAGTTTCTCTTCATTTCTACTAATCAACATAATTTTCAAACCATCATTAGCTAATTCTTCTGCATATACTTTACCAATTCCATCGGTTGCACCAGTGACAATTGCCCATTCACCAGCTTCTCTCAATAATTTCCTTTTAGAAAATAATCTCTTTCCAATTGTATAAATGAATATGATGTATAGAAGAGAGATGAGTTGTTTCATTAGAAATAAACAAATTATAACATGAATGAGATAGATCCAATCCATCTAGAAAATGGAAAATAAGACAATTGATAACTTGAAGATGTTAACCTATTCAATGATTTAACTTAAAATACATTTTCATTATGAACCGATATCAGTCAGAGACTATAAAGTACTGAAAGCGTATAGTAGGTGCAATTGTAGCTTAGCTTTAAAGAATTATTATTCGCACCCGAAGACTAAATAGTTGTGTACTCAACCACTTCTGAGGCGGGTTCATACAATCCAAGATTCAAAAGAGTAGAGATGTTGATGATAATTAATTAAATTCCTCCTTATATTTGCAATAGACAAATATATTAACTACTTACCTACTTATGCCTCTTACTACCAATGGAACATAGGCCGCTGACCAGCATTCGCCAACCCATTCTGTCCTGTGCCTTACTTTCAAGTTCTATCCTATTTTCGTTCATTTTTCTCATGTCTCTCTCCATTTCTCGGTGTAATGTGTTCTTTGGTCTTCCTCTCCTACTTTGGCCTTGAGCATTCCATTTGGTGTCTTGCCTTGTGACGCAGTTGCGTGCTTTCATGAATGTGTGTCCTATCCACTTCCACCACTTCTTCCTGATTTCTTCCTCCGCTAGGATCTGGTTTGTTCTTTCCCACAATAGATTGTTGCTGATAGTGTCTGTGACTGTTAAACGGATCTGAAGCATTTTGCATAGATAACTGTTAAAAAACTCTTGTGTCTTCTGAATGATGGCTTTCGTAGTTCTCCAGGTTTCCACTCCATACAGTAGAATTGTTTTGACATTTGTATTAAAAATTCTGACTATGGTGTTGATTAACAATTGTTCTGAGTTCCAGATGTTCCTCAGTTGCAAATATGCTGCTCGTGAGTTGCCAATCCGCGCCTTCACATCTGCATCAGATCCGCCCTGTTCATGAATGATGCTGCCCAGATATGTAAAGGTTTTTACATCTTCCAAATCGTGATTGGATTGGTGCATACCGTGTCGGATCAGAGAATCTTGCCTTTCACCTTGTGTATGTTGAGACCTACTGCTGCTTAGGATGCTGCTTCACTGGTCGTGTTCTCCTACATTTGTTTTTGCGTGTGAGACAGAAGAACTAGATCATCTGCGAAGGTCGTCCAACTGCATCCTAGCTGTCCACTGTGTCCAGTACTTCTCCCCCGCCCCCAAATGTTGGCGTCTTCATAATCCAGTCGATCACCAGCAGGTAGAGAAAGGGTGAGAGTAAGCAACCTTTTTTAACACCTATCTTTATTACGAATGAGTCTGTGACCTGTTCCCTCATGCACGACTTTGCAGTTTAATCCATCATAGAAATTCCGTATGATATTGACTATCTTTTCAGGTACGCCGTAGTATCGAAGAAGCTTCCATAGTGTTTTCCTGTCCATGCTGTCAAATACTTTGTCGTAGTCAATGAATTTGATGTAGAGTAATGAATCCCATTCAACTGATCTGTAGTGTTGAGATTTGATCTGTACACGATAGATCCTTACGGAATCCATCCTGTTGGTCTCAAATTCGGGTGTCTACGGAGTCCTGCATTCTGTTTAACAATACCCTGTTGAAGACTTTTCCTGGTATTGAGAGAAGAGTGATGCCTTTGTAGTTGTTACACTTGCTAAGATCGCCCTTTGTTTGATGTCTTGATGAAGTGTCTTTCTTTTCAGTCTGTTGGTACTTGTTCTTCATTCCAAATGTTGTTGAAGAGAATGTTGAGTATCTTTGCCATTACTTCTACATCTACTTTCAGTACTTCTACTGGAATGTTGTCTAATCCTTCTACTTTACCGCTCTTGATTTGTCCAATAGACATGAGACAATTATATAATTGTACAAAATATATTTCTTATTACCCATTCACTAATCTCAATATCTTGACTAATATTTATCATTCACATATTTACATTTAGCATATACATTGAATGAATTACAAACATTTACTGCATAGTATCTCATTTAAACATTAGATTAATTAATTTTAACAACTTACTTGTTAATGATGAGTGAAAAACCAACAAAAAAAAGAGAGAGAGAGAGAGAAACTAATATACTCGATCAATTCAATGTGATTATGTGCTAAATGATCCAATCAAATGTCAAGATGAATGATCAATGCAAATGATCAATGTCAATATGTGTTTTAATGAAACTTGTGATTGAAATATTTGTTTTTCTTATTTAGCAACAAAATGTATTTTGTAATGAATGAAAGTGTATTAGACAGAAGTTCAGTTTTAAAAAATAAAAAAATAAAAAAAAGAAACTATCACGATTGGATGCCGGCTCAGTGGTCCAGTTGGTTAAGCGTTCGCGCGCGAGACCGAAGGCCCTGGGTTCGTGGATGCGCACGAAACGGCCGTCCAGTGCTTCCAGGCTTTCAATTTAGGTGGTCTAACATCAATCGTTTCATGATCTCAATCAAAAAAAAGATTTATGGATTGGATAATCATGTTCAATTTATCAATAGTTTACCATTGCTTTTCTTATGAAAATCGTTCAATCTGTCAGGTTCGATGTGTGTTTTTTTTCATTTTGGCAGCAACTTGGATGACTCTCTCGGTCTTCCACATTATACAAGCATTTCATGTACTTAGATAAATGGTTACTTTGGTTGTCAAAAGAGGTCTCGTGACTTCCGAAGGAATTCGGCATTCAGCATGAGATGTCATAACTCTTCTAAATGAAGACCTTCCAACTCCCAGGACAAAGTTTAAATGGTTTAAATTATTTTGTCTGTTTAGTGTTTTTTCAAGCGAGTCGGTTTTCTACGGGATGAGGTCGCCAACCCCATATCCAACCTTCCTTATTTTTGTGGGCTTGGGATTGGCAGTAGCCCCAGAGGAACCCCAGGCGGAGTTCGATAATCATTACCAGTCAAACTATATGAAATTGATAGATAAACAGTTGAGAATTATTGTAAACATTTAAGTTTTACAAGGTGTTAATCACTGTACATTTAGATGATTGTTAAATTCTCTGATTTTCGTTTGGAAGAGAAGTGAATGAGATTACTTGAAGGGATTATCAGTTCGTCTAATATTTAAGATACGCCATTCTAATCAGTAGTGAACAGTTAACCTTCCATGTTATTGTTCATGCCTACCAAAAATGATGATTACTAACTTACTTTGTCAAATAACAGTTCTCTTGTTATCATTCATGAAGTCTTTGAACTAACATACATTTGTGAATTATATAAAGTAACTATTCACAAATACTCATGATGTTATTCTGTCATACTTTATCCTAATCTTTGAATTCCAATGTCAATCAGCTCCTGAGTGTCTGACTCATTCACATAACTTATTCATGATCATCCAGTCAACTAAAAATGATAATCAACTGATGTGAACAGGAACTTGAATCAATATCGAATGATATCATTTCCTCAATTGTTAAAATTTAAAATAGTCATACAAACAATAAATAGAAAATATTCTTTACAATAATATCCATATGTTTACATGTTTACACTAACATGAAACATTCACACCATTAGGGAGGTTTGTGATTCAATAGTAGTATCAATCATGAATACTTCTAAAGTTGTTTATAATTGATTAACTGCATATTCTATGTCCTATCTTTTCATTTTATATGACGTGTACTACTGATAATGAACATATAAGTAGTTTGAATTCTTTTATAATCATTTCCAGTGTTTGTTTCTTCTAGCAATTTTTGAATGATGTTACGAACCACATATTACATATTATATATTATCTTTCAGGACGATGAAAATGCATTCACAGTTTGAGTATATTAGAAGTCAATAACATATAAATAATTACTAATATAGATAATCCAATTACTTTAATTTGTAATAAGTTTAAGGGAATTGAAGAGAGAGATTGATTATAAACACAGTGATCTTGAGTGCTGTGAGAGGTATGCGGGCGATTATCACTTCCCAGGTGCCCACACCGTGGAACGGTTCTTCTAGAGGTACCTGAAAAGGAAATTAGGTTAGAAGTGGTCTTAGTGACCTGAGAGTGTGTTCGCAGTGCTCAAGGGACAACTGCTTGTGGCCGGTCACACACAACCTTTTTATCGGTAACTTTTGTGTTAGCTTACCGACGGAGACGGATATCTGTGAGATAAGGCGAGGTGTTCATTCTTGGGGTCGATCTTTTTTAACCCCACCCTCCTTGTGAGAAGGCAGCATCGCTGTTATGCTGGTTGTCTGAAAGAAATACCTAACTGTCGTCACACTTCTGTACAGTCAGCAGTACAACTTCGCCTTCGGAGCTTGGGTTTGTTGCTTTTAGTTTTACCGCTCTTCAACCAACCTGTCTGACATAGTAGGACCTTAGGGAATAATTGTTCCAGCCAATATAGCTCGATTGGTTCATCAAGATAGGCAAGCCCGACCACGACCTCAAGGTAGCAGCAACGATTGGGAGTAATAAGTTTAATTAAAGTTAGATAAGAAATGAAATATTGTGTGATGTTGTATTGTTTGAGTAAAAACGAATGAATGTGTTAATTTGGCTGTGATTAACTATGTGAAATCAAAAAGTGAACAGAGATACATAATCATTTTCAGAAGGTGATCATACCACAGAAGTCACGTTGTGCAAAGCTCAACACAAGCTGTAAATAACAAAGTGGAGTATACACAATTCAGAAACCTGGCACATTTTTTTGTCTCAAGCTCTCGCACTATATAGGTACATTGAGATGAACTTGTCAAGATAGTGGAAAGTATCAGGTGTAGATCACATGATACGATAGGAAATAATGGATTTAGAGATTAAAACAAACTTTAAGTAATTTTGAAATTTAGGATTTAACGCACATTGGACCTTGTCTGAACATTGTCATTCGTCTCTCATCGTCAATAAATATAGCATTACGAACCATAACGACATAGTCAGCATTAACCAACATGGTTGGATCTATCAGAAAACCGTTTCATGATAGTAATTTGGGCTATTAAATCAACAAGTGTTGTCATTCAACGAAATGGAATGGTCCTGTAACTTCGTACTAAACATGCTCTATTTCTGATAGCGCCAAGAAATCTCCAACTGTATTTATTATCAGTTAAACTCCTTTATAATCTATTAGATTACAATCTCAGTAAACCTTTAAACCGAGTTAGATTGAGAATTAGTTACCTAGACAAAATGAGAGTGGAGATGACACGTAGTTACTCATCACGACTCCCGCCATTTCTTAAAGTCTTCGTAGAGGGTTAGGTCTTTTACTTGACTAACGCCGAACACAATAAACAAATAATGGTACTCGAAATCACAGAACCCCAACGGTCACAAATCAGAAGACAGAAGAAACGGGATAAGTGATTATTAGGTAACAGTCAAAAATGTACAAAAAATCATGGCTGTTCATAGATATGAGCGTCAGCTATAACATGATTATAATCCAGCTAATCTACAAGGACGCAAGTCATGCGACTGTCCAACCGTAGCGTACAACGTTGATATTCTAAAAAAAACACCAACAGGTTCTGATTGGGTGGCAACTCTTCGGCTCTTTAGAGCTTCTGGAAACTCCATCGTGCTTCTCAAAAGCCGTCACAACATAGAGCAAACATATATCAGAAAAACCTTTTAATGACACTATTAAAAAGTCCAATACCAGGACAAAACAGCCATCCAGTATTTCCCAGTTTTCATTAGCTTCATAACTAAGATAAATTCGTAAATCAAGCTATGAAAATAAGAGAAAAATTGAGTATAGTATACATAATCACACGGATCAATTAATGATATATTTTAGCTTTAAACCATTCAGTTTTTCCTCAGGTAAACATATATATTATCAGAAGGAGGTTTTGTGGAGATATTAGTAATTTAATAGTTGGATTCATGAGTCAGTTAAAGCTAGACCACAATGGAAAACCGTAAAACACTGGACTGTCGTTTCGTCCTAGCATGAGACTCATTAGCGATGCACATCTACGGTCCTGCCTCACGAGGAACTATCTGTCTCGCGCGCGAATGCTTAACCTGTAGACCACTGAGCCGGCATTCAACAATGTTAATGTTTAACTTCAACATAAACAGTGTGTAACATTGATCAAAACTTGAATAGCTGACATTAGAAGGCTTTATATTTTATTTTATTTAAACACATAAAGATTGGTAGAAGAAGGCAATCCCATGGTAGCCGGTGACCAATAATTGGTTCCTGGATCCTGGAACGCATGTGCACCATTGATTTTGAATCAGGGTTTTCCAACCCCCCTAGGTAGACTCTCCGTGTCCACCAGCCCGGTTAAAGCGTTGGACATTTGCTTTTTGTCCTCTCAATTTTGTAAACAATGTCCCCGTCGCGAGAAGGCCGTGAGTAGGACTTCCCTGAAATTGGTTGTATGCAGGTGGCCAGAAAACTAAGAAGATTAAATTGAAGAAAACAGAAATGAAAATAGAAAGGGATTGTAACTTGAAAAAAAATCATACAATATATATGAGGGATAATTGAGGGAAGGTTTGCAATTGAAGCATTTGATGTATAGTTCTCATATTTTACGAAGATATTCTATAGTTTGTATCGGAAAATACAATGGTTGTCTCCATCTGACTTCTTGTTCATTCTATATACATCCATCTTTTATACTTTATTTTTAAACTTTTTGCTAAACTACTACATGTCACCTAAATCTTTAATAAATTGATTATATAGAATCTATCATTAAAACATTAGTGCTTTTCATAAGAGATTTATTTAATAAGATCGACTTTAAATAAGATGTCAAAGTCATTCAACAGAATATCGATCAGAAATCTAACTATTTAGATTGTTTATCCAACATTTAAACAATCTTGAGAATGTTTCTGATTTGTGAGTAAGAATGATAATGACTGGCTTCGTGAGGTATTTCCTGGGGTTCTCGTGTGAAGCAGTGATCAGTGGAGTTCAACCGAGTCTGTTTTGAGATAGTAACTCAATAAAGACACCGGTGGATGTGTCGTTCAATTTCGTGAATTAGTTGAAGTTATAAATTAACACCGTTGGATGGCGGTCGGCTTACTGGTCTAGTGGTTAAGCGTCCGCATGCGAGACTAATAGTTCCTGGGTCCGAATCTCTCGAGGAGCGATCGTGAGTACGCACTTCTGACGAATCCTAAAATGGGACGAAATGGTCGTTCAATGCTTCCAGGTTTTCCATGATGGTCTAGCTTCAATTGGCTCATCATCTCAACTAATGAAATTGCTATAATATCCAACAAACCCCACTTTTGATAATAATGATTGTTTGTTTGCTTAGTCAGACTTGTAGATAGTCTAACAGATGTTAGATGAGTAATATATTCTCCTATCCTTATTATTGATTGTTTATTGTTGTTGGATTGTGTCAGATCGTTATAGGTTTTTAGTGTGGAAGTATATTTAAGTTCCAGTCAAACTAATCACATGTTCTTGATCTGAGTTGTGTTGAAGTCCTGTAGAATAGACAATAGAAGGGAACCTATTGTAGATATTCATCTAAGGTAGATAAAGTCTCATTCATGTAGATTGATCATTGAACATTGATTATTGACAAATCTAATAATTCAATCAATTATAAATCATTTAAGAATATAGCATTAAAAAAGTGTAGTCATCCTGTTCCGGTTAAATTGTGTTACAGTAACGTGTATTGATTACGTAATCTATATATATTCATTATACACTTTGAATGAACTCTAGATATGATTATTACACAATAGTAAGTATAATACTTTTACATTTTGTATCTTACATTTCTGTATATGAAATTTTTTGTAAAATAAAAGATAGTGCATGCAAAGATGGATAGTGGCTAGCATTAGAATCCAGGATACGCGCCGCTTCGTCCTATTTGGGACTCGTCAGCTAGATGTTTCCGCACCTCAGAGTTGATTTTCACTCTGGTACTCTAACCCACTACTGTTCTCTTCAAATGCCATTGCATTATCCACTTAGCTACTGAGCTCTGATAGCTGAAACCAGGATTTTCCAACTATCCTAGGTAGATCCTCCATATCCATCAACTAGTTTAAAGCGCCGAACATTCGCTCTACATCCTCTCACTTCTGTAAACAACATTCTCACCGCGAGAAAGTAGTGAGAAGGCCTTCGCTGGAAGTGATTTCATCAAAACAGAACATTATGTATCAGATAGTGATCAAACAAAACTCAATAAATAAGTAGCATCAATCAGTTTATTATTTCAATCAAAAACTGAATAATCTCCACAACCCTATATTGATAATTGCCATGTGCTCACTAGTGACTAGTTTCGTGAAATATTTCCCGGAATTCTAGTAAGAAACCGTAACCACTTGCCCTGATCCGTGTCGGGTAGAGACAGGTATCTACCTCAGTACAATGAAAGATGGTGGCGCAATTTCGTTGATTGGTTGAGGTTAGATATTAACACCATTAGATGCCGACTTAGTAGTCTAGAGATGAAGCGTTCACATGCAAGACTGAAGACCTTGGTTTCGAATCTCGTGAGACTGGATCGTGGATGCGCACTGCAGAGGAGTTTCACAATAGGACGAAACGGCTGTTCATTGCTCTCAGGTTTTCAATGATGGTTTAACATTAATCAGTTCATGATCTCAGTCAAAAACTTGGTCATCTCCACAACCTTATACTGATAAAACTCAATAAAACGGATTAATTTCAGTCGATATTTCTTATCCGCTTATTATCAATCATTATCTAATTCAGTCATATTAGATCTTATCAATTCTGTTTCATGAAGAAATATATACATATACAATGGAATTCAATGATAAATTGTGTCATTTATACACATAATACTTCCATTCATTCATTCATCTTGAATATGTATATATACATCACGTTGATAATCAATGAATGATGCCAACAAATACAAGTTCATCTATTTTATTGATTATATTCAATCATTAATCATATGATTGAATATTACAATGCCAACATTTATTAATATAAATGAGAACATGTCTACTAATGGAATATAAATTATTTATTACAAGAATTTATTAATATTAAGTAAGTTATTAATAATGGTCAGTGTTATGGTAACAAAAAACCTATTCAATATGATATGGAATTAGTATAATTATTATTGTATATAGTATAATAATACATTATTGAAGATGTGTACATTTACGAGTAGCAAAGGTTAGCAAATACAATTGGCATTTCTGATCCCCCTTCTCCTCCTCCTCCTCCTCCTCCTCCTCCTTATCATCATCATCATCATCATCATCATCATCATCATCATCATCATCATCATCATCATCATCATCATCATCATCATCATCATCATCATCATCATCATCATCATCATCATCATCATCATCATCATCATCATCATCATCATCATCATCATCATCAGGTGAAGTGATGATTAAATGATGGAAACGATTTCATGATTATCGTTATCACTAATAAATTAAAAGTAAAGTTATGCTGATAAGAATATACATGTAGTTACGAGATGACATATACATGTATAATATAAAGGCTATGATGAAGAAGATTTTAATGAAATTTTTTTCTCTGAACTGGATAGTTTACGTATGGAGCTTTCATCGTCTTTCTGAACGACATCATCAATACAAACTTTTGCACCATATCAGAAGACGAAGAATAAGAAGAAGAAGAAGAATTGTTGTTTTATACTAGTTTGGTAATCTTTAACAATCTATACCTATTAATGATCAATATTTGATCAAATCAATAACAAGTTGAAAGTTTGATTATAATGATAAATTTATACAACTAAATTGAAAACTGCTCAATATCAACGATTAGGTTAAATGGAAGAATTTTCATAAATTTCAAGATTTCTTTAATTTTCTTTTTACCTTCTACATGTTGTTGTTAAACAGTGACGAGTCACAAATAGGATGAAGCGGCACGGATCCTAGATTCTAATGCTGGCCACTATCCATCTTTGCATGTACTATCTTTTATTTTACAAAAAAAAATTCATATAAGCTACAATTGCACCTACTATACGCTTTCAGTACTTTATAGTCTCTGACTGATATCGGTTCATAATGAAAATGTATTTTAAGTTAAATCATTGAATAGGTTAACATCTTCAAGTTATCAATTGTCTTATTTTCCATTTTCTAGATGGATTGGATCTATCTCATTCATGTTATAATTTGTTTATTTCTAATGAAACAACTCATCTCTCTTCTATACATCATATTCATTTATACAATTGGAAAGAGATTATTTTCTAAAAGGAAATTATTGAGAGAAGCTGGTGAATGGGCGATTGTCACTGGTGCAACCGATGGAATTGGTAAAGTATATGCAGAAGAATTAGCTAATGATGGTTTGAAAATTATGTTGATTAGTAGAAATGAAGAGAAACTTTTAAGTATTGCTGATGAGATTGGACGAAATTATCATGTAGAGACAAGAATAGTAACAGCTGATTTTACAAGTGTAAGTGTATATATGTATATAAATATACCTTTTAATTGATAATTAGTTAGATTGTAATTGTAAATGACATATTTGTTACTAGCCGGTGAGTAATCTAACGTATCATGTTTGTTACATCCTCTAGTATTCATGAAATTCTGTAGATGATTTCATATTGTTGTCACTAGTTAAATTGATTCGAAATGATAAACAAGATCTCTGGTAGTTAATTGCTATCTGATTAGATCAGTGATGATAATGTACCAAATTGTAAAATCGGATGAAATGTATTCAAGTTGTTTTAAGTTCTCAGGTATTCTTTGTTGATAAGTACTAACTAATACAAACATAGATTTATGGTTTTCTATCAATCACCTCTTCTATGTAATTGACATTGAAAATCTTCAGGTTTATTGTTATAATTGCCAAGACATTTGTTATGTAAAATCAAGTCATCATTGGTTGGAATAAGGTATCAGTCAGTCAGTCAGTCTGCAACAACATAGGACCAGGCATATACATGCATCAGTCCAAGTTGTCATACTTCATTAGTACAGCAAGATGAACACTGGATTCATAGCAGTAGTTATTTCAGTGGTGGTAATGTATAAAAAAAGATTTCATAGTACATAAACAAAGAATTTGTTATATCCTAGTGAAGATTAAATTACGAGTAACTTCTGAGACACATTAATTGACTAATATTATTTACATATTCTTATGGTAAAACTATTCAGTAATTAGATTGTGTATCTTTATATTCCCTTTATTATAAGCTTCGTTTTGACCCATGGATTATTATTACACGATTTACTGTTCTTATGTTATACTTAGTTTATTAGTTACTGTCTCCCACGTTCACAGGCACTTGTTGGCTTTATTGTGTATGAATGTTATTTCCTATTTTATGGTGCGTTGCGGTCTGTTTGGTTGACATATAAACCAGCTATGTGTAGAACAAATGATTAGGATAGTAGAAGTTGTTGTTGGCGTTCTGTACTCAGCTGGATGGGATAGGCGAGCAACGGACCAATAGGACGCTAGGCTGATCAGGCCGAACGAACGTCATTGGTTTAGTACAGCATAAGTGCGAATAAGTCGTATTTTTATTGGCGAATAAATTACGGGATAACTAGCGGGCCATAAAGGCAAAACAGAATTAGTTAGCATAAGGTAAAGACCTCATTCCAACTGAATAAAATCATGCAAAATCGCTACTAAGATTAATGTGTGTTAAGATTATGTATATGGTTAAATCTATCGAAGAGTCTAACCACTCAGCGCTTAAAATTGATATTCAAATTAACTATTTATCTAAAGAACGATTTGTCGGGGTGATCCGCCAAATTTCTCGCAAAAGACAAGCAAGCATCAGGAAACACTAAGAAGCGTTTCCTCCAATCAGCGTTCACTTGAAGTTTTAGCCAAAAATATCAAGAGGGCGAAACTTCACATGCAGAGGTTCTGATTGTTTAGTAACATTCCAGAATCTTCTAGCAACCCAAGTACATTTAAAATATTATGAAAACTCTGTATTTTCTGTTTTGAAATGAACCTTGGAGTAAAGTACTTCTCTCATACTTTGCGTATTCTCTTTGGTGTTCAGGTCGCTGTATAGTTCTAGCTTGAGGTTACAGAATAGCTTTGGAGACCAATATAGCGTTCAATCCGCAAGACTTATCACGATTCGATTATTACGAAGTATAGGTAAACAAGTTGTGTAACTCATCTTGTTAGGTATTTGCAGCAATCAACTCGTTCATATATGTATAGAGTGAAAAAGGCTTCTTAAAATAATTGGAAACAGAATAATTACAATATACGATAACCTAAACGATAGCCAGTAGATGTGTCTAAAGTCTATGATGACTATCAGCAGTCAAATGAAGACTAAGAGTACAAAAACACATGAATGATATTGCTTTTAAATAAAGATTCAAGGAATGCAAAAAAACGGCAATAGCTGTTTCGGTAAATGAGAGAATGTATTTAAAGTAATAAGTAGAGTGAGGTTTGTTAGTTAATGTGAATGCCTAAAAACAAATCACAGAGAAGCTCTGGAAGATGTAAAAACATTTAAATATCTGGGCAGCATCACTGGCGAACACGATGGATTTGATGTAGATATGAAGGCATGGGTCGGTTAAACAAGAGCAGAATATCTACTATTGAAGAATATCTCGAATTGAAAACACTTGACAACTGTCAACAGCAAAGTCAGAATTTTCAATACAAATATCAAGACAGTTCTACTATATGGAGCGAAAACTTAGAGAACTATGAAAGCCATCATCCAGAAGATACAGATGTTTATTAACAGTTGTCTACGCAAAATACTTCGGATCCGTTGACCAGACACAGACACTATCAGCAACAATTTACTGTAGTAGAGAAAAAAACCAGATTCCAGCGAACGAAGAAATCAGGAAGAATGCTGGTCTGCGGCCTATGATTCATTCGGAGTAACAGTTGTAAGTAAGTAATCTAGAAACAAATAAACGTATGTGATACCATACGTTCAAAAGTTTTTTTTTTAAATGCACTTGCTTACTGAATATCCACAAGTAGTATTAACAACACAATAAATTCAGTTGAGTGAAAAGAGAATGAAAAGAAAATCTAAACTAACTTGACATATAGGAAATCAGTTAAACCGTTATGTGATAATATGATTCAATGAAATTTTAACTAATCAGTCATTTGGACCCTGTTAACTAACTTAAACGTCATAAATTCCATTTAACATCTAAATGTCCCAGTTTCGATTGTTAATGGGATTGTTAGTGTGTAGTCCGTAAAATGTCCTATCATTAATTGAGTGAAGTGGAACAGTTATAAATCAATCTAGTCCTTTAACAATATATGTTCACCATGAAAGTTTTATAGCTCACATTTACATAATTGACAGAAAATCGGATACATACAGCTAATATGCTGATGATGTCGTTGAGATGAACAATGAAAGTTCCACGACCAAATCATCCAGCTCAAAGAACAAAACTTCATGAAATACCCTCAAATTTTTACGTTATATCTGTTCAGTTTTCTGTAAGTTTTAAATGAGAAAAAAACTAAATCTTCTAAAACCTTCCATATGTATTCATCCATTCACGTTTTGTTCTTTTCTTTTCACAGACTGATGTCTATCAAAGAATACAAGAAGCTATAGATCAATTATCATCAATTGCTTGTTTAGTCAATAATGTTGGTATGGGTCCGCCTAAATTTGATTATTACGCAACAACCGATTACATGTCTATAAATTTTATTAAAAACATCGTTTTTTGTAATACTTTACCTATTGCTATGATGACCCATTTAGTTTTACCGAAAATGTTAAAACAATCAACAACTGGTATGGCTATCATTAATATTGGATCATATTCTGGTTATAGAGCATTTCCATTATTATCATTATATTCAGCAACAAAAGCATTTGTTAATCAATTATCTAGATCCATATCGAATGAGAACTATGATCATCGTATTCATATACAAACAGTTTGTCCAATGTTTGTATCGACTAAAATGATCAGTTATTGTAAAATGTCATCACTGATTCCTGATCCAAAAATTTATGTTCAACATGCATTAAATATGTTAGGTGTTGAACAAGAAACATTCGGTTATATGGGACATGCTATTCAAGCTTATATAAATAGTTTTTTACCAAATTCATTTCTAAGATATTATATGTTATTGATGAGATGGTGGATTATAAAACATAAATTACATTAAATTAATATCTTATTATGATAAAATATATTTAATTCGAATGGAAACATGGACAATATTCTTATATCTATCTATTACCATGATTGACTGAAGTACTTCTATCAATTCAGTATTCATCTTATTGTGATGATAAGGTGTAGTAAGTTGAACCAATGCATATATATATATGCCTGGTTCTGTATTGTAGCTGACTGACTGATTGATTGGTACTTATAA